GCGTCTGTCAGCTCTACCAGCGTCCACCAGCCACCAGCAGCAGACTGCTGGTAGAGAGTATAGTGCGATAGGAGGCACCAGCTGTCTGCTGCCATCCTATCGCGCAATATTCTCCATTCCCAGACGCTGGTAGACGCTAGTGGACGCTGGCAGGCGCTGATCGATACGTATACCTTCCTTCTTGCTGATGCTGCCGTACCCTTGAAACGCTGGGAAGGCAGCATTTCCCTTTGAATAGGGTGGATGTATTTTTCAGTGGATGTTTTCGTTTTATACAGCTGCCATTCAGTATTGTGAAATCAAACATAATTATCACTGCCCCGGAGCGGCGATTCCGTTCCGGGGCAATAATAATTATGTGTTTGACCTCACATCACGGCATAATTATTCCGCCGCCACATTGTAATGAAGTACACAGCCGCGCCCTTTCTATCTATAGGATATGCAGTTTAGAGAATTATGAGTCAGCCATTCCAGACCTATTCGGGTGGTTGGCCTGCAGGAGCCGTTTAGGAATTTGAGTACCGGAGGCGCAACCTGCCTCTATATCCTACGCCCCGTGGTGATACATTGATAATATTGATTATTACTGAGCGACCAAGCATTTGCCAGTTTGAATTTGAAGAATAAAACAGAGTGTCGAAATGGTGTCAAAAAGGTGGGAAAGCCACGAGCGATGGAAGACGACTGTGAGCGATTTCACGAAAGGGCTTATAAAGCAAATCGTTTCGACCTCCCATCCCTCTGCGCATAATCAACCCCTTTTTACTGGTTTCTCGCGAAAAGGGAATCCAAAGTAAGAGGTGATTATTCAGACGAATAGGGGTGATTATTCAGACAAATAGAGGTGATTATTCAGACAAATCCAAAGAGTGTCACATTAAAACCCCATTAAAACTTCCAGTTCAGGAAGGGAAGGTCCTGAAAGGCCGCACCTGTGAATTCCATTCATAACCACTCGGGGATCCGACAAGTAGATGCCGCAGTTTACCGCCAGACAACCTGTCAATCCTCTCGAATTCTTCGTCGCTCATCTTAGGAATCTCTCTGAATAACAAACGAACAATCCATATTTTTGCTGATCATTAACAGTCACAAACCTTCGTATTGTACTGGTCATTATAGGTTTGTCATTGTCACAAACAGCTGGTCGCTCGTTTACGTTTCCTCCAATATAGAACAGACGTCCATTGTCGTCTTCAGCAAAAAGATTTCCTAAATTATTTTGGAGTTGAAATATATGGAGAGCACGAGGGAAATAAAGCCTTTGGTGCACCTTTGGCATCTTCGACGACGTTAGGATTTTCGAGAAGCCTCATGTCAGCCTCCAGTGCTTCTAACTCGTGCTCATAATCCACGCCAAGAACCTTCAATTTCGGTATAGTTTCCTCCAGCAGTAACGCGGCTTTGCCCACATTCTACAAATAGCTTATATGATTCCATAGTAGTAACTCATCCAACAAAACAACATAAGTTTGATGCCAGTGTTCTCTAATCCGCACAATATGCTCTCCATTCTGTTACACCGCCTCTTGTGGATTCACAACCATTCAGATAGTATGTATTAGAACTAACTTATACTGAATGATAGCATCGTAGTTCAACTCGATAACCATAGGCACTCCCAAGATAAGCACCCCTTGAGATTGTACCGCAGGCATGACCTAGCGGTATCATAAGTGTGTCATCGAGTAGATACTTTATATGTTCCCGTTGGCGCGGTGCGCTCTTTCAACCCTTATTTCAAGTACCGCCATCGGTACAGTTGGTGAGCACCGCCCACATTCGTATGTATTATATAAGCCTACCT